AAGGCACAAGTGGCATACAGGGAGGAACTAAAGTATCTGACATCAAGGCAAGAGCAGAGGAACAGCTTTCTCCCAAGCAGAGAGGCAGGCAGAAGCCACTGTTATTTTTCAGAACCCCACCACCACATAGCCACAAACCAGTAGAAAGGTGCCATATCTGCAATTCCATCAACCTGGCTAACACTGTTTGCCCCACCCTGGAGATCCCCTGAGACTCAGTCCCACCCAACTTGTGGGCCTATCCAAGCTCCTAACAGTGACTTTTCTATATGAATGGCTGGTCTTGACTCAAGCTACACAACTTCCTAAATCCTCTCAAAAAAGCAACAGCCAGCCTCAGTGAGCCCCCATCCCCTATACCTCTTGCTAACTGGCCCCAGACCCAGCATTAACAGTAGCCAGCCTAGATCACAGCTTTACATTGCCTGGGAATCTCCAAGCCCAGCAAAAGTAACAGTCATCTCAGATTGCTTAATGGCTCATGCAGGGTGACCACAGGCAGAACACAGCTGGGGGCTGACCTTGGCCTGCACCACCCAGGAAACCTCAGAGTCTGTGCACCCAGTGGACAGCTACAGGCCACAGAGAAACACCACCATCTGGCCCCTGCACGGGTGATCCTCCATGGAGGCTGAAGGATGGTGATCAGTAGTCACAACCAGTCCTTGGAACTGACTGACTTAGGTAAATCCCTCCCATTGGCCAACCAAGAGCAATCAAGGATCAACAAGAAGAAGAGGGTGTACTCACCCCACATGAAGAGCACACCTCCAGCACTCAGCTTGGGTGACAGAGGAGGCTGTGCCACAGGGCCCTATAGGACACCACTACATTACACTATACTACCAAGAAAAAGAGTCATAGTAGCTCTACCTAATACACAGACACAAACACAAGGAGGCTGCCAAAATGAGGAGACAAAGAACATGACCCAAATTAAAGAACAAATCAAAACTCAAGGAAAAAAAACTGAACTAAATGGAGATAAGCAATCTAGCAGATGCAGAATACAAAACACTGATTATAAGGATGGTCAAGGAACCTAGTGAAGATCTCAACAGCATAAAAAAGATCCAGTCAGAAATGAAGTTTACACTAATTAAAATAAATAACAATTTGCAGGGAAATAACAGTAGAGTGGATGAAGTTGAGAATCGAATCAATGATTTGGAAAATAACAAAGCAAAAAACAAGCAATCAGAACAACAAGAAGAAAAAAAGAATCCAAAAAAATGAGGATAGCATAAGGAATCTCTGGGACAACTTCAAGAGTTCCAACTTCTCTTATTATTAGGGTGCCAGAAGGAGAAGGGAAAGAGCAAGAAACTGGGAATCTATTTGAAAAAAATAATGAATAAAACTTCTGTAATTTGGTGAAGGAAATAGACATGTAAGTCCAGGAAGCACAGAGAGTCCAAAACAAGACTGATGCAAAGTGGACCACACCAAGACACAGCATAATTAAAATGCCAAAGGTTAAACATACAGAGAGAATTTTAAAAACAGCAAGAGAAAAGCAGTTAGCTACCTATAGTGGAGTTCCCATAAGACAGCTTATTTCTCAAAAGAAACTTTGCAAGCTAGAAGGGACTGGCAAGAAGTATTCAAAGTGATGAAAAGCAAGGACCTACTGCCAAGGTTGCTCTACCCAGCAAATCTATCATTTAGAATTGAAGGGTAGATAAAGAGCTTCCAAGACAAGAAAAAATTGAAGAGATTCATCATCACCAAACCATTATTATATGAAATGTTAAAGGAACTTATTTTAAAAAAAAGAAGATCAAATGAACAACAAAAATGGCAATAAATCACACCTATCAACAACTGAATCTAAAAAACAAACTAAGCAAACATGAACAGAGTCAGAATCATTAATATTGAGAGTGTTTTGATAGATGCCAAATGGGAGGGTGGTATGGAGGAATGGGTAAAGAATTGAAGAGATTAAGAAGTACAAACAGGTAGTTACAGAATAGCTATGGGGATATAAAATACAGTATAGGAAATGGAATAGCCAAAGAACTTATATGCATGACCCATGGACATGAACAAAGTTGCAGGGATTGCCTGAAGGAGTGAGGGGTCCTGGGTGGAGAAGGGGAAAGGGGGAAAAATTGGGATAAGTGTAGTAGCCTAATCAATACCATATAACAACAAAAAGAATAGAATGGGAAGAATCAATTTAGGAGACGCCAAGGATTCCTACAGTATCAAAGAATCAAAGTACTATGGTATGAAGGAGGGATAAACATATAATCCAATGAAACAGAATAGCAAGTCCAAAAGTAGACCCACACAAATATATCCAAATGATTTTTTTACTTTAGAATATTGAAATAAAAAAATTGTGATAACACCAAATTTTGGTGAAGATATGAGTGAACTGGATCACTCATATGTTGCTGGTGAGAATATAAAATGTTACAGTGTGGAAAAGAATGTGGTGATTTTTTTATAGAATTAAACATGTACTTACCAAATGACCCAACATTTGCTCTATTTGAAAATTATACTAGAGAATTTAAAATTTATGCCCACAAAAATACCTTTTCTGTGGGCATAAGTACAGAGCTTCTTTATTCATACCCAAAATATCTCCAAACTTGAAACAACCAAATGTCTTTCAGGGATGAATTGATTGAATTACTCAACATGCTATCACTTCTCCCCAAATTCACATATAGATTTAATGTAATCCATATGAAAATTAAATAAGATTCTTTTTGGAGACATAAACATGTTTATGTCTACAATCTGTGGTATATGCATACCATGGAATACTGCTCAGCAATAAATAAGAATAAGATAGTGATATACATCACAACTTGGCTAGATCTCAAGGGAATTATGCTGAATGCAAAAACTAAGTTAAAATGTTTCATACTGCAGGATTCTTTCTATAGATCATTATTAAGATAACATTCTTAAAGATATGTATAACAAATTTATCTTTGCCAGTGGTGTTGGTCTGACAGTGAGCCACCACAATTTTTCTAGCAAAGGAGGTGGGCAATGAAGTAGGTAAGTGAGGGTCTTCCTGGCCACCACAATACAGTTGGAGGGACCCTTTACTCTATTTGAGGAGACACTGCAGTGACTTCAGGGAAAGAAAAGAGAAGTAGGCAGAGTTCAAAGAAACCATCTCCTGTTGTCTTCCTCAGGAGGCAAGAGGGCTGCCCACATACCTCTGGGCACTCCCAAATTGATCATCCCCCTACCAGGCCATTGACAAACCCAAAATGCCAAGTGCCAAGTATACCCCACCACCATCATTTCTTTTTTCCTATGTGACACTCTCAGCCCTAGCAGCTACAACTCACCTTCCCAAAGAAAAAACAAAAACTTGTGCTATATCACCACCTCCAGGAAAATAAAAGTAAGGCTCCCAACTGCCAATCTGTTAAACTGAATTAAATATAGGTAGGCAGTCCTCAATTTACAATGGTTCAACTTAAGATTTTTTTAGTTTTATAATTATGTAAAAATGATATTCATTCAATAGAAACTGTACTTTGAATCATGAATTTTGATCTTTTCTTGGGCTAGCAATGTGGAGTTCAGTACTCTTTCATGATGTTGGGCATTTTAAAACAGGCTTTGTGTTAGATGATTTTTTCCCAATTATAGGAAATGTAAGTGTTCTGAACATGTTTTATGTAGCCCAGGATAAGCTATAATGTTCAATAGGTTAAGTGTTTTAAATGATTATCAACTTAGGATATTTTAACTTATGATGGGTTTATTGAAACACAACCCAATCACAAGTCAAGGATCACCTATAACCTTGCCTAAATAAGAAAGGTATTTACTATTTCAAATGCAAGAGCAGAGAATTTTTTTTCATCAAACACCATGTGAAATTGTATTAAGTTTTCACAAAAGTAAATGACAACTATTCAGCAACCAAACCCAAAGATGTGGAATTTACTATCTAAATGATAAAGTATTTAAATTAGTTGTTATGATGAAATTTGATGAGCTACAAGAAAACTCAGAAGGGCAATACAATGATGTTAGGACTAAAATTAATGAAGAGAAGGTATGTTTTACCAAAATGAGGCAATGAATCTTCTGAAAATACAGATCATATAGAAGAGAGAATTAGCAAGCTTGAGGACAGAAATATAGAAATAATTGAAGTGGAAGAGGAAAGAGAACTAGAATTTTTTAAAAGTGGAGAAAACCTATAAGAATTATCTGACTTCATTAAAAGAGCCAACATAAAAATAATGGGTATCTCAGAAGGAGAAGAGAGGGAGAGGGGAGAATAGAGCATATCTAAAGAAATAATAGCTGAGAATTTCCCAAACCTGGGAAAGAAACTGGATATACAAGTCCATGAAACTAATAGAACACTTTATTAACAAAAAAAAGACTTCTCCAATTTACATTATATTAAAACTGTCTAAAGTCAATAATAGAGAATTTTAAGTGCAGCCAGGGGATGGGAGTAAGACAGTAACCTGCATACGTGACCCCACTAGGCTACTAGCAGATTTCACAGCAGAAACTCTACAAGCCAGGAGAAAAAAGAATAACATATCAAAAAATGTCATCCAAAAATACCCTATCTGGCAAAAATTATCTTTTAGATATGAAAGCTAAATTAAGGCATTCCCAGACAAACAGAGCTGAGTTCATTCACTGCCACCAGACCTGCTTTACAACCAAAGTTGAAAACAACTCATCAATTTGAAACAAAAGACAGAAGTACACAAAACTCTAATTAAGGTGATCAGAAGCAGTCAGAATTAGAACAGTATAACTCTTTTGAATAGTATATTAGACTCAACTATATTATAAAGGTCAAAGTAAAAGCACTAAAATAACTATAGCTATTACAACTTGGTAATAAAGAGTTGCCAAGGGGAAGAAAAGGGAAAGAGTAAAATAATGAAACATTTATAGGTAAGTGAAGATAAATTACTATCGGCAAAGAAAAGGACAATTTTATCTATGATATATTTTATGTAAACCTCATGGTAACCATAAAGCAAAACTCTAAGACATAAAACCTAAGAAAAAATGGAAACTGAGCAAATCACCATGGAACACAACCAACTTACAAAGGTAAACAGAAACAGAAAAAAAAATAAACAATGGAGAAATAAAATAACCAGAAGGAAAAAGGTAAAATGTCAGTATTAAATACTTACATATCAATGATCATCCTAAATATAAATACATTAAACTCACCAATCAAAATACCCACAGTGGGAGGATGGATAAAAAAACAAGATCCAACAATATACTGCCTGCAGCAGATCCATTTAGGTTCAAAGTAAAAGAGTAGAAGGTGATACTTCAAGTAAACAGTAAAGAAAGAGGGCTCAGCTTTACTTACATCAGACTAAAAGACATCAAGTCAAAGAGTACAAAAGACAAAAAAAATCATCATGTAATGACGGAAGTGTCAATACATCAGGAAGATACAACAATCAGAAATATATATTCTCCCAACAGCTGAGCATCAAAATAGATTAATATATATATATATACACACACACAAATGTATTGATACAAATTAAATATTATTATACAAGTCTTAAGGGAGAAATAGATAACAGTGTAATAATTGTAGGGAAATTCAGTATCTCAGTATCACCAATGAATAGATAATTCAGAAAGAAATTCAGAAAGGAAGCATTGAGATTGAACTATACTTTAGAACAAATGAACTTAATATATACACACAACATTCCATTCAGCAGCAGCAGAATACACATTCTTCTCAAGTGCACACAGTAAATTCTTCAGGTTAGATCATACAATAGGACACAAAACAAACCTTAGCAAATTTCAGGAGACTGAAATCATACTATCTTCTCTGACCATAATGATATAAAGCTAGAAATCAACAACAATAGGAAAGTGAGATTACCTGCAAATATATGGAAACTAAACAACACACTTCTTAATAACCACTGGATCAAAAAAAAAATCAAAAGAAAATTTAAAATTTCAAAACCAATGAAAATGAAATCACACACACATCAAATATTATGAAACACACCAAAAGAATTTCTGAGAGAAAAGATTATAGCAATAAATGTATATATCAAGAAATTAGAATGATCTCAAATAAACAACTTAACACTTCAAGGAACTAGAAAAAAGAAGAAAAAATTAAGTCCCAAGTTACCAGAAAGGAGGAAATGATAAGTTTCAGGGAGAAAAATCAATGAACTAAAGAAAAGAAAAACAATAGAAAGAATCAATGAACTTAGCAGCTGGTTCTTTGAAAAAATAAACAAAATTGACAAACCTTTAGCTAGACTAAGGGAAAAAAAAAGAAAACTCAAATAAATAAAATGAGAAATGAAAGTGGAGACATCAAAGCTGATACAATGGAAATAAATAGGGTTATAAGAAACTACTATGAGCAATTATATGCCAACAAATTACATAACCAAGAAGAAATGGCTATGTTTCTAAAAACATACAACCTAACAAGACTGAATCAGGAAGAAATAAAAATATGAACAGACCAGTAATGAGTAAAGAGGTTGAATTAGTACTCAAAAAACTCCCAACACAGAAAAATCCAGGAACAGATGACTTCACTGGTCCTACCAGTGAATTCTACCAAATATTTAAAGAAGAATTAACACCAGTCCTCAAATTCTTTCAAAATATTGAAGAGGAAAGAACACTTCCAAACTCATTCTACAAGGCCAGCATTACTTTGACACCTAAACCAGAGGAGGATCCCACAAGAAAAGAAACTATAGAGCAATACTCATGATGGATATAAATGAAAAACTCTCATCAAAATATTAGAAACCAAATTCAAGGATACATTAAAATAATTACACTGTGACCAAGTGGGATATACCCTAGGTTTCAAGGATAGTTCAACATACACAAATCAATAAATGTAATACATCACATCAATAAAATCAAATATAAAATCACATAATCATTTTAATAGACACAGAAAAAGCATTTGACAAAATACAACATTGTTTCATGATAAAAACCCTTAACAAACTGCATACAGTAGGAACATACCTCAACATAATAAAGGCCATATACAACAAACCCATAGCTAACAAACATTATACTCAATGGAGAGAAATGAAAAGTGTTTCCTCTAAGATCAGAAACAAGGAATAGATGATCCCACTCACCACTCCTATTCAATATAGTACTAGAAGTCCTAACTAAAGCAATTTGGCAAAATAAAGCAATAAAAGGCACCCAAATCAGAAAAGATATAAAATTGTTGTTATTTACTGATGATATAATCCTATATTTAGAAAATCCCAAAGAATCAGTCAAAAAACTGTTCAAATTAATCAACCATTTCAGTAAAGTATCAGAAATCAAAATCAATATACAGAAATCAATTACATTCCTGTATACCAATGATGAAGCATCTGAAAAAATATATAGAAAACCATTTTATTCACAATAGTATCAAAAACAATAAAACACATAGGAAATCATTTAACCTGGGAAGTGAAACATCTGTACAATGAAGACTATAATACTTTGCTAAAAGGAATTGAAGAAGACAACAAATGGAAAGATATCTCACATTCATGACTCATAAGAATTAATGTAATTGAAATGGTCATACTTCCCAAAGACATCTACAGAGTCAACTCAATCCCCATCAAAATACCAAAAGCATTCTTCAAAGAAATAGTGAAAAAAAAATCTTAAAATTTATGTGGGACCACAGAAGATCCTGAATAGACAAAGCAATCCTGCAAAAAATTAACAAAGACAGAGATATCACTCTTTCAAGTTTCAATCTATACTACAAAGCTATAGTAATAAAAATAGTATGGTACTGTCACAAAAATAGACGTATCAATTAATGGAACAAAATAGAGACCTCAGAATCTAACCCTGGTATATATGGTCAACTAATACTTGACAAGAAATCCAAGAATACCCAATGAGGCAAGGATAGTCTGTTCAATAAAAACTCCTAGAAGAAAACATGGGGAAGAAGTTCATCAATATTTAGTAATAATTTTAGGGACATGATGTAATAGCACAAAAAAAAGGAAAAAATCAACAAATGGGACTACATCAAACTCAAAAATTTCTGCACAGCAATAGAAACTTTAACAAAATTAAAAGACACTCTATGGAATTGGAGAGAATTTTTGCAAACTATATACTGGATAAAGAATTAATATAAAAAAACATATATAAATAAATCAATCAAATCAATAACAAAAAAATATAAATTTTAAATGGTCAGAAAAACTAGACATTTTTCCAAAGAGGACATCAAAATGGCCCAGACACATGAAAAGATGCTCAGCATCACTAATCATTATGGAAATGCAAATCAAAATCACAAGAGATATTACGCCACACCTGTTAGAATGGCTAATATCAAGAACATAAGAGACAACAGGTTCTGGCAGAGATATGGTGAAAAGGGAACATTTATACATTGTTGGTGGGATTAAATTGGTCCTACCACTATGGAAAACAATTGAAGCTTTCTTTAAAAATTAAAAATGGATCTATCATACAATCCAGTAATTTCACACCTGGGTGGAAAAGAAATAAAAACAATTTTGAGGAGATAATATGCACTCCCATGTTTATCGCAGTATTAATCACAATAGCCAAGATAAAGAAACAATTCAAATGCCCATCTTGGGATGAATGAAAGAAAGATGTGGTACATATATTCAGTGAAATATTACTCATCCATCCATCCTCTTATTTGCAACAACATGCGTGGACTTTGAGCATATTATCCTGAGACTAGTCAGAAAGATAAGTGCTTTATGATATCATTTACATGTGGAATACAAAAAAGTTAAGGGCAAAAAAAAAATACAGTAAAATGGGTGGTTACCAAGGGATAGGGTAGGGGGATAAAAATGATGGTATTCAAGGGTACAAACTTATAATGAGTTGTAAATAAGCCATAGAAAACTAATGGACAACATAATGAATATAGACTCTATTACTGTGCTATAATTATGTAATGTGATAAATACTGCTACATTTGGCAATCACATTAAGATATATAAATATATCAGAGTAACACATTACATACCTTAAACTTACACAACTTTACACATCAAGTATATTCAATTGTAAGTTTTAAAGAAAGCCAAATGTAGAACCATGGAGACGACTTCCATTTTTGATATCTTAGTTTTGTTGTTCGCTTGTTTTTGTTTGTTTTTCTTGGTCAGTTAGGAGTATGCCTAGAATAAATGCCAAGACCTTTATTTTCCCAACATGTTGCAAAGAAAAAAAGCAGAAAAAAATGACATTTGCTGATCTAATACTACTAATTTTTAAATGATATTTATAACATAACATTGTTAGAAAATCCACTTATTTCTTATTTTTGTCTTCTATTGCATACTTGGAGAAAATATCAAATACCTGCAAAATAATCAATATAAAACCAGCACTAGCCATGGCTGGTGTGACTCAGTGGATTGAGTGCTGGCCTGTAAACCAAAGGGTTGCTGGTTCAGTTCCCAGTCAGGACACATGCCTGTGTTGCAGACCAAGTCCCCAGGAGGGGGAGTGTGAGAGGCAACCACACATTGATGTTTTTCTTCCTCTCTTTCTCCCTCTCTTACCCTCTCTCTAAAGATAAAAATAATTTTAAAAATTGTTTAAAATAAAAACAAAAATAAGACTGGCACTAAACAACAGTCTAATATTACAGAATGGAATTTTAAGGGTCTTCCATTAGGTAATTCAACACTATGTCAGTATGAACCCTCCAGCTTTCAAAAAACCTCAAACACTATTCAAAGCAAAATAATACAAAACAACTGCATAGGAAAAAAGAAAGTCAACCTAACAAAGAACAACAACAAAGAAAACCTGATTCTGTTGGTCCAGCCCCTGTTTTTAAACTTGTGGCTTCCAGAACTGTAAGAGAACAAATTTATGTTGTTTTAAGCCATGAAGTTTGTGGGAGTTGGTTACAATAATGATAGAAAACTAATAAAATTAATATTAATAAATATAAATAGCTTACTATATGCCAAGCATTGTCTTAACTGCTTTACAT